AGCATCGGTTTGTGAAATAGTGTTTGTTTCTATCTATATCTGTGTCAGTGATGGATAGCTTTATAGTGAGCTGTTTTTATGATGATAGCTGCATGTAGTTTCCAGATATCTGTGTTTGAGACAGATCGCCATGCCATACCTTGTTGCTGAGTTTTAAGAACTCCAGAGATTGTCCCCATGAAATGCTCACTCACATCCTCGGGGAGATCAAAAGCATAGGGATCTGGTGGACAATAAATAAATAAATAAAAGTGAGGGTGAGTGTGAGTGCTCTAGGATTAGAGTTAGTGAGGGTGAGTGGAGACAAGTCAGAGTTAGTGAGTGGAGAACCATCATTAGTGGAGACAAGTCAATATGAGTGAGGATGAGTGCGGGGGAGTCATAATCATTTAGTGTGAGTGGAGAAGGGTTGGAATCAGTGACAGTGAGTTGGATAAGTTAAAACTGGTGAAAGTGAGTAGAGATAAGTTGGAATTGGTGAAGATGACTGAATCAAAGATGGTGAGTTTAAATTAGCTGTAATTAGTGCAGGTTAGCAAAGACGAGCAGGAACTGGTGAGGCTTACGGCAGAAAACATGGAATGAGAGTGGGTGAGTAGAGTTGGATTTGAGTAGGCAGGAAGGGTAAATATACCAAGATGCACTTAGAAAAGGTGAAAAGAAAAGAGAGATGCCAAAGGTGAAATAAAGAAGAGTTTTTCTTAGTGCGTATAAGTGTTTAAGCTCTTGGGCCCAGAACTTACACTGACAGCTGACCTCAGTGCCGCTCCACGCTGTGTTCTCCAGACACGTTCTTTGCTTGGATCCCACTAAAGTCAGTCCACGGGAACACTCATATGAAACTCTTTCATCAACTTCATATCGCGTACCAGTCTTCACAGCTCCAGGAGGGACCCCAGGATCCGGGCAGTGACCATCTGTCAAACAATATCCAATAATTAGGTTGCACGTGATCTTCACGGATTGATTTGTCTTTCCTGGTATGAATTACAGGGCCAAGAAGAATTGTCTCCAAGATCATTTAGGCACAAACAAAAATCATTTGTAAAATACTTCACCATGTGAGAAACTTTCTAATATGTCTATTTGCGCCCGAAGAATTTTACACATGTTTTTTCTGATGTGTGAAAGATAAAATTAAGTATTAAATAAAAAAGAAATCCACAGCACCGTAGTTAACGCTATTCTGGAGCTCCCTCACAATAATTGCTACGGTATAAACTCTGCCTTCTGCACCTGTCAGCCAGTGCACAGAGATCACAGGGCAGATTTATCATAGAACCATAATGTGAAAAGTGGTGAAAGGTTATGGAAGTGAAACAATCTATATGAAACTGACCAAAACAAGCCGGCACATTCCATTGGCGATCACTCCACTTTTCCAATTTTGCAAGACTTTTTAGGTCACAGTACTTTATTAAATGTATCCCATTATTTTTATTTCTCCTCTTCCAATGCAATGTGTGCCCATGTCAATGTATACAGGGCTGAACTGGAGTTCCAGGTCAATTGTTAAATATTTAAAGGGACAGTGTAAGCACCATAGCCACTACATGCTCCTTTAGTGGTCATGGTGCTAGTTGCGTGTATGCACCACCCCCACGGTTTTGGTGAAACCTTTTGAACAAAACCAGGAGGCATGGCAGTGCTTCAGCATCAATTC